GGGCCTGTAGTCCCAGCTACTTGGGAGGCTGAGGCAGGAGAATGGCGTAAACCCGGGAGGCGGAGCTTGCAGCGAGCTGAGATCCGGCCACTGCACTCCAGCCTGGGCGACAGAGCGAGACTCCGTCTCAAAAAATAAAAATAAAAATAAAAAATAAATAAAATAAAATGAAAACTGGAGCTTTTCCTACTATATTTTAGCCAAGAAGTATACAACTGGGAGCCATCCTCTAATTACAAGGTCCTGACTGAGAAGAGAGTCTACAGAAAGTAGAGGTAAGAGAGAAACAGAAAACAAAACAAAACAAAACAAAAAAATCTTGACTTTGATTATAAAATTTGTGTCCTATATCTAGTTATTTTGAAGTTAAACTTACCTTTAGATTGCTGTCAATAAAAAAAAAAATTTTAGTTATTTTTATTATTAAATTTATTTATGTATTTAATATTTATTAAAATTTTGATCCCTCAATTATTACTGTCAATAATAAACAGAAGGAAAGAACCAATGAAAAAGAATTTCAATTAATTTATTAAGTTAGAAAGCAGATAAAGAAGGAACGATGACTGATCAGTCAGCAGAGACAGCCATAATCTACTGTTTGCATGGAAGAGAACAGAGCCAAGAAAGGAACCAAACTAGGCCACACTATCCTGAACTCCAGGAATAACAAATATGAGATGTGGGGTTGTGAAAATTCTAGCGTCAAAAGCATTCACAGTCAGCTTTCCTCTTGTATTATTCTTGGATATGAAAAGGCAACCAAAACATTAAAGAAAAGTCTATGACATGAAAGAGAAGAAAACTAAGAAAAAAAAATCTCAAAGAAAACACCAGTATCAGCCGGGAGCGGTGGCTCACGCCTGTAATCCCAACACTTTGGGAGGCCAAGGCGGATGGACCACCTGAAGTTGGGAGTTTGAGACCAGCCTGACCAACATGGATAAACCCCATCTCTACTAAAAATACAAAATTAGCCAGGTGTGGTGGCACATGTCTGTAATCCCAGCTACTCGGGATGCTGAGGCAGGAGAATTGCTTGAACCCGGGAGGCGGAGGTTGTGGTGAGCCAAGATTGTGCCATTGCACTCTAGCCTGGGCGACAAGAGTGAAACTCTGTCTCAAATAAAAAAAAAAAAGAAAGAAAACACCAATATTTCAGGAAACGAAAGATAATATTTAAAATCTGTTTGTATTTTAAGAGGATATAGGGATGTTACATCTATAGATAGAAAAATAAGTTGTTATTAAAAAACAATGGACAAACAAGAAAAGTTCTTGACTACTGAAAATATGATGGCAAAAATTTAAAAAATTTAGCAAGAAAGTAGGGAAATTTAAAAAGGAAATCTCACAGAATATACGACAAAAAGACACTGAAATAGAAAATACATTTAAAAAAAGACAGACATGAAGATTCACTCTAGAAGGTTTCATGTCTGACTAGTGAGAGTGTCAGCAAAAGGGAACAGAGAAAATCAAAAGGAACAAATCATCAAACAACTAGTGGAAGAACCATCCTTACACTGCAATTCTATTGGCTTTGCAATATGTTGTGTATCAGATTTGACATCAAGTTTTCTCCCGTCAAAAAAATAAAAATGGCTATGGCAGTTTTAGGTCTCACATCCACACATCTCTCTGCACAGAAGGAGAAGAGCTTATCTTCTCCCAACTACCCAACATTCTAGGCTTCATTCTATTAGGACAAACATAGGTTAACAAAACCACCTCTGATCCAATCACAGTGGCCAGAAGAATGCCATGTTCTGACTGGTTATCACCTGGATTACATGCCTATGCCCAAACCATCAATCAGAGACAGAGGACAAGGGATGTGTCACTACTCAATAGGGATTTAGGGAAGGGATGCAGGAGAAACAACACTCAATACAGCATTACTGTGATATTTCAGTACACCAAGCATGAAGACACATCATAAAAGTTAACAGAGAAGAAAAACAGACCACCTAAAAGGGAACAACAATCACACCAGTATCTGCAAAAGGCTAGAGAACCATGGGGCAATGCTGTCTATGATTTGAGGGAAAAATGACTTTCAACTTAAAGTCCTAAATTCAACCAAATCAATGAAATATGAGGGCAGAACAGGAACATTTTCAAAATGGAAAGATTCCAAAGTCCCCTAAGGCAGTATCTTAAATATAGATTATACTGAAACTAAGGAATAAATCAAGAAAAAGGAAGACATCAGATCCAGAAAGTAGCTCCAACCCAATAGAACAGAAAGAATATAATCCCTACATATATTTCCTATAGAGATATAGTGCTTATATGTATCTTTCTGTAACTATTACACTGCTCGTGTGACTTAAAACAGACAGAATTGGAAATTACTATATTTTCAGGAAAAATACAGTTATCTATTAAACTAAACTAGATAAGAACTGAAGTTACATTTTAACAGTAAAGAAATTCTAAAGAATAAAAGATTAGCCACATGAAAAATATTTTGCAAACCTTGAGATACATACCTCTAGCTGTCAGAGTCACCTGATAATTTATGAGACAAAGGCTTATTACATTTCTCTTAGGTGTCATAATTTCTACAAAATAGTTATGAAACTTGTAACTCTCTAAGTTCTTCCAAGTCTTTCCTACTTCTTTTCAGCAATTAGTAAATTAAACTCTTTGCAAAAAGGAACATCTATTCAAAAATTAGTTTTAATATTTGTGGGAAAAATGTTACAAAAACAAGACTTACATGTGAAAGCTGCAAAGCTGTAACTGGTTATAAATAAATGTATACAATGAAAATAAATCTAAATGCTTTCCATACTCCATTAATATTCAAAGGATTAAAAAATGCAGTTCTTTCTTTTTCTTAGAACAAGTAAAGACTAACTTGAAAAATTATAGCTTTTCTAGATTCGTTTTTTCCATAATTACTCAGTTATTCATCAGAATATGTAAGACCTCTATTGGAATCTTTGCAACAGTGTTTCATAAATGAATTTAACTATAAAAGCCTAGTTATACAATCACTTCCATAAAAGCAATATATTTCTGATATTTATGTCCTTAAAATATCCTATAGTAAAATTAATATTTCTACACAGGAAAAGAAGGAACTATTTAGTCCCAGACAACTTGATAACATATCTTTCAACTATAATTATCATGTACAAACTTCCAAAGCATAAGTTGTCAAGATTTTAACATTAGCATTAATTTATGTCATAACTGATGGTTACCATAAAGATAATAATGGCAAAGCATCCATTTCTCCAAAGACAGCATGGATGGAAAGGAAAATTTCTTCTTAATTATTGCTAATCTGTCCATTTTTAATTAAATTTATTATTAATAGTAACTTATTATCTCTCTCTTTCTTGCAGGGCTGTTATCACAGAGTTTCTCCAAAGTGATCAAGCTTGTGATTTTTAAGCAACCCAATTACTTCAGTGTGAGTCTCATCATTTTATAATATTGGTTTATATAAAAATGTAATGCCCAAATTCTTTGTACTATGAGAAAGAAATTTTGAAAATGCAGGATTTGCACTCAGTATTTCACACTTCAGCGTGAACACTGTCAAGATCATAATTGCACCCTTTTGGAGATATGACCACTAAAAGTAGGATTATTTTAAGCCTTCTACCTTGTTTGATAATGAAAATGTTTATCAGCATGTATCTTCCCAAAGGGAAGAAAGCAGATCTCTGTGATTTCCTTTCAAAAGTATCTACTTCTTATGCCATCCATAACTAAGCAGAAAATTTTGGTACTCCTCTAAGGGTTTTTCCTATCAGTTTCTTTTTAGAATAAAAATAAAAATGTTCTGACATACAAAATAAGAACTATTGTAGTCAAATTTTAAAAGAATTTCAGTGCTTCATATATTTTTCAAATCAAGAGCCTTAATTAACTTTTGATTTGTATGAAAGTCAAAGTATGTCGTTTAAGTAGCTACTTGAAACTAGAAAATTTTCATGATAGAGGTTCATGAGATAACTTCTGAAAAAACTGAACTTCTCTCAAGAGTGAGAAAGTGAAATGCAATGTCTCTTTGTAAAGGAAGGGACAGAAATCTTTCCTTCCCCTTGTGAAAAATAGTAAGACATCAAGAAATACTGGCTTGAATATCCTACTTCATCAAATCTGCCTTATAGGAATCGATTGTAACTGAATAAAAATTCATACTTAGAAGAATACTGAACTGTATTCAAATAGTTGGCTATCAATAAAAATGAAAAGATAATTGCTAAATATAAAATCATCCTTATTAATTACCATTTACTGAGTATAGTAACTATTAGATATATGAGCCCAAATACACCCTCCTAGAAATTAATGAGTGCAAAATGGCTGCCAAACTCTTACATACTGTGACTTATACATTAAATTCATACCTGTTCCAACAGATTTAAGCAAGGTTCAATCTCTCATTTTTTTTATGTCTACTTGTTAGTTTATCAGAAATGTCTTGCTTGACCACCATATGTAGCACTACCTCCACAACTATGTCCTGCCATCATGTGCTATCTGATTCTGCTTCATTTTTCTTCATAGTACTGTTCACTATCAAGCATGTTATTTGTTTATTGCCTGTCCTCTTCCACTAGAAAGTGAGCTCCATTAGCACAGGCCTTTAACTTATATGTTCACTGTTCTATCCCCAGTGTCTAGCACTATATGCCAGGCATATAGTAGACATTCAAAAAATACTTGTTAATAAAGAAATTAAATGGCCATCAGCTCTAATCTTTCTTTTCCTTAGGAATAGAAAACTTAGTTTAATATCATTTGATAATCCTGGATGCCAAACTATACAAAAAGTCTTATTTTTAAATATCGTTTAATATAAAGGCATACTCACCATTTGGAGCTTTTTTATAACCAAAAAAAGACAAAATATCCTTTTAAAGAATAGTTGGGCTACTAACAATTGCAAATTATGAATTTCTAAATAATTTGGCAAATGTAATTTCTTAAATTACACACTAAATTCAAGATACTTAATTGGTTACTCTGCATACCTTAACAAGTTTCAAAAGCTCATAGAGATCTTCAACCTCATCACCTTCACATTTGGTGTATACTTGTCTTGTATCCAAGCTCCTTCCTCTTATGGTTCGGCGATAGAGGGGAAGAGCCATTGCTTCTGCATACAAGTCAATGGCATGGTGTCCCACTGTCTGATACATGTAGCTATCCAGTTCATCAGACCCCACTGCAACAATTAAAATGGAAATAATTAGCAAAAGAGAGTGAAAAAGAAAGTGGATTTGAAAGCCCATCCAAGTTTTACTGCTTGAAGAGTAGTCGACACAGAACTTAAAAGCTTGCTATATTTCTCTGCATTTATGTAGTGAAATAAAAACGTAAGAATTGTACATTTGTCTGTAGTTGCATCTAGTTCATATCACCCCTAATAATCTCTACTACTAATTACAAATACAAATGTATTAATACATAAATCTGTTATACCATATATGGCAAACATTTAAAGACTAATGTATCCAATAAATTTTGATTAGTTTATTCAGTTAAAGATTTTTATTACAAATGTTTTTACAAATCATTCAAGGTTATTCACAAAGTCATCTAGACCTGTAGAAAAAACCTTTCTTAATTAAATATCTACTTAGTAAGTGACAAATATTGGTAAGAAAAATTTCAGATTATTTTGGTATATTTTATATTCAGATATTCAGTACCTTATAATAAAATATGTAAATAGACATAAATTCAATATTGTTAGAGCATTAGAGCAGTTTCAAATGTGCATAGAAGCATGATATCTTAAGCTAATCAATAATATAATCAGTGGTTGTCACAAGATTCCACAAATATCAATATGAGTAAAATATTCAAAACATGAGTCACATCAGAACTTTGGGTGATATAAATGAACTTAGAAATATAGTGGAATAGACCTTTTGATCTCGTAACCTTACTTTTCAGAAAAAGAATCATGAATATATACAAAGATTATTTGCAAAGATATTTGTCACATTATTTAAAATAGACTAGAAATTATAGTATATTCATATAATAAAGTACTATGTAGCCACTAATATAATGTTGAAGAACATTTTCTAAAGTATGTTCTGTGGCATACAAATCCCATAAGATATTAATAGGTATGGGATGATAAAAAGATTTAAGGTTAAAGAAGTTTAGGAAACATGGGGATAAAAAGCGTTAAATGGATGTCTGTGGCGTAAATCTTCCCAGGCTAATATGCTTTCAGGTACTCCAATAAGAGCAGAGAATATGAACTATCTCTCAAATTTATCTACCCATAGAACACTTAAATTTAAAGGGGGTATCTGTGTTCTAAGGACATACAGGAAATGCTATTGTAGAATAATATTTAATGACATGGAAAATGTTCAAAAAATGCTATTAAGTGTAAAAAAAAAAAAAAAGAAAAATTACGAAATAATTATTTTGACATATACCTATGTGTGTATGTATGAATATAAGCCAAACCGGTCCAGGCTTTCCATTAAATGTCAAAATTTCCTATCAAAAGGAATGAAAAATGATAGTGCAAGGACCCCTTCAACAATCAAAATCATCAAAATGTGCTACCCTATTTTGGCTCACAGGTTTCTGAACTCACACATGATTAGACTGGCTTCCTTCAGAATATTACTCACATTGTTGTTATAAAGGTTTCTACTCCTGGTCCCAGTAGGAAGTAGAGAACATAGCCAAAGACCTAAACACCTTTCGGCCTTCTCTTGTCTCAAAGTTAGACTGGATCTTTAAAAATATTCATTTTAAAGGATATTGATACAATAAAATCAATTTATTCAAAGAAATTTGGGCTTCTTGGCAAGAAACATTCTGATGTTAGCATAATAAGTAAAACATTTCACTGGCTTCAAAAACCTAGAAGATAATTTTCTTTAAGGCTCCATTTAGTCCTAACCACATTGTAACTTTGATTAATGGAAGCTACACAGCAACAATAGTGTGAGATCAAATAAAACCAAAGGCTCCCCTGTTGCCTGAAGCAACTCAATTAACATGCCACAAAAGTTCCTACTACAAATCTAAAGAGATGGTTTTGTGAATTTTATGACAAGTTCACATTATCCCCATTGATGGGTATAAATTCCTTTTCAGACCACCCATTGAAAACCCGTAACTTTGCTGGACATTGCAGTCATCTCTACCAGTCATTCCTCACTAAGGTTTCTTTTATAACACTCGTAAGGGGAAAATAAGTCATTCAGTGAATTGTTCAATAATTCCCAATGTCCTGCTGATTCTCATCAAGATTAACTAAACCATCTCCATCTACCAACCCACAGCCATCTTGCTTTCTTCCACAACAATTACTATTGTTTCAACTGCCTTTTTCCAGGCTTTTTACTTCAGAATATTCTAATTCCATTTACTATTAAATTTTTTCTCATTAACAATATTCTAAATAAGTGTCTCTATTGTGAGAGCTATAATTTTTATTTTTATTGTATTTATGTATTTATATATATATTTTTTGAGACGGAGTCTCACTCTGTCGCCCAGGCTGGAGTGCAGTGGTGCAATCTCAGCTCACTGCAAGCTCCACCTCCCGGGTTCACGCCATTCTCCTGCCTCAGCCTCCCCAACAGCTGGGACTAGAGGCGCCCGCCACTATGCCCGGCTAATTTTAATATTTTCAGTAGAGACGGGGTTTCACCATGTTAGCCAGGATGGTCTCGATCTCCTGACCCTGTGATCCGCCCGCCTCGGCCTCCCAAAGTGCTGGGATTACAGGTGTGAGCCACCGCGCCCAGCCTTGGAGAGGTATAATTTAAAGATACACTTTGCTTGTCATTTTACCACCCTGCCAGTGAACCGTGGACACAAGGAAGATTATACATTAATGATTCTGTACCAGGTAAGTAAAATAATTCATGTGAAAGCTGAAGACAAGATAGAAACTCCAGTGATGGAAATGACAGTATACTATGTAGGTATTATATACTATATAAACATCCGCTTTTTAACTTCACAAGATAGCTTAAAAGTCCCAGTTGCCTCCCTGGCCACAAGGGATAAGGGAGTTTCTTTCCTTTGGTAAACCTGACAGGAGATTCTGCTTCCTCTTTTATAATACAGAAGTTAGAGTGCAGTTCCTACTCATTCTCAAAGAATTTTCTCTTTCTTAAAGTTGGAACTTCTTTAAAAAACTTCACTTCTAAAAAACCATCTGCTACTCATCAATTGCAGCACAAAATCCAAGCATGTGCATTTACCTATGACTCTCTGCGGGACCTTTCCATTTCTTCCTATAAAATATTTCTAACCTCTGTCTTTCCACACAACTTCCAGCATAACTTACGTCTTAATCACAGAAGAAAAGAAAATTCAAATATCTGACTGAAATAACTGCTTACTATTCCAGGGCTAATTCAAATGAGTTCATTATGCACCTGTCCACCAATCAACTTTGCATGAACTCCTACCAGAGGCATAGAGCTGTTCTAAGCAATGAGGAGCAATAAAAGGAAGATAGAAGATATGATCTCTCCTCTCAAAAAGCTTATAATCAATCTATTTAGAGATATAAAACAAGTATTTAGCTAGATTCCAATTCAGCTAAATTTACAGAATGCCTACTTCATGACAGGAACTATAACCAATGTTCTCACATATACTACTCATTTAATTAATCTTAAAATAACAGTAGTGCAAAAAGATGGAGCCTGGAAAGAAGTAAAAGAGATAATAAAAAGATCTTAGTAGGAGAGTCCTGTGAGAAGCAGTAATACAAAAGTCACACAAGTGCTAATCTTTGCTCCCTCTTACATTTCAGCAGTTAATATCTTTTAGTTTCATAGGTATAACACAAGAGCATTAAAAAGCAAATTGGTGAATATATTTCTTTTGTCAAAAGCTATAACTGGGGATATTTCATTGGGGAAAAAAATGAAAAAAGTAGCCAATATGAGGTCTGTGAATTTTATGTAGATGCCCTTGTTACTACAGACAAATGAAAAGTGGAAATGCATTGCTTTTTGCTTCTCTCAAGTCTCACATCTCTGGCTTACATCTAAAATAGGTAAACTGTATCTTTTTTTTTTTTTTTTTGAGACGGAGTCTCGCTGTGTCTCCCAAGCTGGAGTGCAGTGGCGCCATCTCGGCTCACTGCAAGCTCCACCTCCTGAGTTCACGCCATTCTTCTGCCTCAGCCTCCCGAGGAGCTGGGACTACAGGTGCCTAATAACATTAATATATCCTTTATCAATACATGTCTTACTTCTCAAGCCCCTTGAGGCATGAGACTATATCTTATCTACCTCTATGCTGCCTACAGTACTTGGAAATGTGGTGGGGTAAAATGGCAGTGTACTTTGAAGTAAGAAGGTTCAAGTCTTAGCTCTACAAGTTTGTGCTAGTTTACTTCAGACAAACTCTAAGCTTCAGGATCCCTGTCTATTAAGATTAATAATGCATCTCTATAGAAGTTGGTTATGAGAATTAAAAAATAAGTGAAGACAATGCTAAGTTCTACGTGGAACCTAGCATCTAATGGGTGCTTAATATATATTGGTTCTTTTTTTTTCGTCTTTGTATGGTATACCTGTACAATGTAATTGTGAAGTTGGAATTTCATTCATTTAGGCAACTTCCCAATAAAGGCATGTACTTACCTTGGTTTTCAGCTGGTCTCAGATTTGCTAAAGCAACGATCTGATGCCCAGCAGCAATGCACTGCATCATATTATAGCAGCTGTCCTTCCCACCACTAAAAAATAAATCAACAGAGAGACAAATATCAAGCTACTGACCATTATTCAACATAAAATCACTAGATATCAAAACAGAACATATTATTTATTCGACTTTTCAGAATATATTACAATGCAAAAAAAACATTAATTTCTAAATCATAAACAAACTGAGCAACCTGAATGTCCAGGGCTGCTATACACAGGAGCTTAAGAAACTATATGCCTTTATAGAAAGAATATTCTAAATAAAATATGGTAACTTTTTGCTTTGTGATAGCAAATATATATATTGAAGTGCTTTGCAAATAGAAAATTTCAATTTACATCCCAGCTAAACATTTATTATATAATTATATATTTCATATATATATTTCATCTAAGGAATATATATAATATATATTATTCCACTTAAGGAATATATATATAAAATAATTTCATAGAAATTATTGAAAAAGCAAAAAAAAAAAGATTCTTTATGAGAAAGTAAAAAAAATAAATTCTGCTCCACCATAAGAAATCTAAGAAATAGCTATCATCAGCAATTAAAGGACCAAATTAAAGATTTGAGTACCTATCTAATGACAAAGTTTGACACACTTGGTGGGTTCAAATTCTGCAGAGATAAAAAACAAGATGCTGACTTACGCTGATGACGTGAAACATCAGCACTATCAGCACTTCAGCCATCACCACACTTACATACATACATATGTTATACACATACACATTTTATATATATATGATGGCAGCAGAACATGGCTTGAGCTATAAATCTAGTAACACATTGAAAGGAACTTCTAAATTCTGGTTCTAAATCTACCTAAGGCAGAGGCGTATCACTTAGTAAAGACAAGTAGTAGCTCATCTGTAATATGGCTGAATGGCAATCTATATGCCATTGTGGTTTAATATTCTCCTAATTCCCACTATCATTTCTCATTGCCTCGCTCCCTTTTATATTTCTTTTCCTCCTGTTTCCCTTCTTTCCAATATTTGCTTAAGGTCTGCAAATGTGCCCCCAGGCAATGTTTAGACCTCTTCATAGCTCAAGAAACTGAGGACCCCAGAAACTGGCCCTGTTGCCTTTTATCTTAGTTTTCAACATTTTCTGCCTCTTCCACCCTCCCATCAATAACAACTCTCATTCCAAAACTTCTCAAGTGGAAGGAGAGTGCAAGGGCCAAAGTAAAGTTTTAAAAAGTCCATTCTTCCTCTCTTCAGATTCCGTAACCCCATAAGTAGGTCTTCCACAGCTTCCCGTATCGAACCTTACTGCTCTGTTTCCCCAGGCTAAAAAGATATGACTAATTGTTTCAGATATTAAAGACTGAAGGGTGTGCATCCAGAATCAGAATTAAGTCTTACAATTCATTTTGAAATACGCTAACATTTCAAACATGGTTTTCAGTAGTATTTACCAAACTGTGTTCTATGGAACACTGGTGTCCAACAAAATACTAACCAATTACTCTAAAAAAAGGTTTTGAATATTAGACAAGCTTGGGAAATGCAGAGTACCTTACTGTCCTCTTAGAACTCCATTAAGTACACATGTATGTTATGGGAGAGGTCTTATAGATCTATTTTAGTTTCCAATTCTGGGATACTAAGCTAAGTTATTAAATGTGCTTAGGTTTGCATACTTCATACAAAAATTAGTGAATGGTCCGCCTGGATAATCCTCAAAACAACATTCAACTACAAAATTCAAAGACCCATTTATTTATTAGAAAAATAATGTTCCATGAGAGCACATGGACACAGGAAGGGGAACATCACACACCGAGCCCTGTGGGGGGTTGGGGCTAGGGGAGGGCTAATGTTAGGAGAAATACCTAATGTAGGTGATGGGTTGATGGATGCAGCAAACCACCATGGCACGTGTATACCTATGTAAAAAAATGCACGTTCTGCACATGTAACCCAGAACTTAAAGTATAATAAAAAAATTAATTAAAAAAGGAAAATAATGTTCTTATAAAGATATGTAAGAATCCCAGTTTCACTTATTCACTTAAAATACATAATTATATATAATGCATATATATAGAATACATAGCATCTATATCATAAGCATATAGGTAAGTGCTTATGTATTCATACTTACAGCATATGTCCTTACAGCTCTTACACTTCAGCAAGAATTTTCCAATATTGCTTTTTTTAGCAAATTTTTTTATTACAAAGCAACATATGTACATTACAGGTTATTTAGTATAACTCACTCTACCAATCTTCTCTCCTCCCCTCTAATACTTCTAAGTCTTTGGTTGTTGTGCTTTACTTTAATCATTAAACTTTTGAAAAACGATGTTCACTTCCTGGGGTACTTTTAATTCTAAAATGAGACACAATGGTTAAAGCCTAATCATTCATTTTACAGAGGGCATTTACTGAAAAACAATAATTATTGTGACATTATGGTCTAGTCTCCTAAAAATCACACTGAAGGAAAGGGAACTGGAATATTTCAGACACTGTAGTAGGTTTGAAATGTCATATCAAGTCCTTAATAGGACAATGCTTAACCAGCCAGTATTAGTTACCTAAGGGACTTAACGAAAACGTTTCTGAAATCATCAATTGGATTACAAAAGCAAACGCATCGTTGTACTGTATCTAAGACACTCTACAGGACAAAATCTCATGAAACAAATATTTAAAGTAGTCTAAACTAACTTTTTAATGTTGTTAGTGTGTTCCCTTCCGCCTCAGTTTATAGATTGAGTATGGAAATATTTAAGCAGGTTTGGTTTTGGTTTGTCAGTCATAGGACTTATTTAGACACTTAAATTTATGATTTGGTTACTACAGACATCAAACTCCTTTTGAAATACGGAGTATACGGTAAGGTCACTTTAAAGCAATGATGAGAATCCGAAGCAACAGCAACTGCATCTAGCATAAGACTAGTACAATTCGGTCTCTACCACGAAGAGAGATCTCTGTACTTGAGTGCCCACAGGCAGAAACACACACATGCCATAAGCAATCCACATCTGTGAAGACGAGGGAAGGGTGGACTTCTTGGGAGGGGCGGAACCAGTTACAACTAGGGAGGAAGACCAGGCTACGGCGGACCCAGCTGACCAAAAGGAACTACAGAAGAGGATGAAGAAAGCAGGGGGAAAGGGCGAGGATTATTAACTGAGTTGGCGGAACCAGGTAGTGGCTCCAAACTTCACGGCTCATTAGAGCTTGAAAAAAAATCAGACGCCGGGCCGCACAGAAGTAATTAAACCAATCCCTCTGGCGGCGGGGCCCAGGCGTCAGTTTTTTTGTTTTTTTTTTTGTTTTTTTTTAGTTTCCCAGTTGAATCCAATGGAAATCCAAGTTTGAGGGCTGGAAGACCAGAGAGGCAGCGACGGACGGGGAGGAGGCGCGCCAGCCCAGGACCGAGGCACAAGCGGGCCGGCAATACCGAAGGGAGCGCTCCGCCTCTTCCTGTGGCTCGGAGGAGCCGCGGAACCCCCAACACGCGGCTCAGGCAGAGACACCCACTCTTTTGGCGCTAGGGGCGGCTGGAAGGGACGAGAGGTTGGCCTGGGAAGAGGGAGGCGGCTCCAGGACCGCATTACCTGATCAGAGCCGCGACCCTCATGCTGGGCGCAGTGCGCGTGCGTGCGGCGGGCGCGTGCGGGGGCGGGAGCCAGGAGGTCGCCGCCGCAGCTCCCGTGACGCACCGCGGGGCCTCGCCCGGGTGTTCGCTCCGCCGCCTGTCCGCGGATCGGTGCTGCGAGCCCCGCGGCTGCCTGCAGGACACCTGAGCGCGGAGGGTGCGGCACGTTGGCATCTTGACCCTGTGACAGGAACACCTTGGCCCAGGAAAGAATGATGTTTAGGCACGGCCTAACCACCTAAGTGAGGGCACTGAAGCTGCCGGGGGAAGGGCAAGCTCCGTGTTGCAGAGCCCAAGCCCGGGGGCGCTGGATTTGTTTTGGTAAGAGGGGCTTTAGCGTCCCAAATGCTGCAAATTGACACACTTATGGACGTGCAAGCGCAGAAGAAATTTGCCCTTCTTCCCCCCATCTCCCGCAGAAACAACTGTACACTTTTGCTTTTTAACGTACATCTTCTCAGTCCTCCAAACCTGTGTCCAGATGTGAAACTGAGATCCCCAGGTGCTGAGGTAATTTTTAAATCTGCGGTTAGCCACCCCCGCCCACCTCTAGGCCCTCTGTGGCTTTGGCTCTTGGTCAAGCTTGTTCTTTGACAAGGCCAGGCCGGGCTCTTCACCAAAGAGTAATGGCCTTGCAGAAAGAAAATCTAGCTTCTAAGTTTATTTGCCAAGTATGTATTGAGTGCCTTTCGTGTACCGGGCACTGTTTTAGACTCTGTGGATACAACCGCAAATAAAACAAAAACCCAGCATTCCCGGCATAGAGCTTAAATGGGGATGGAGAGAACAGACAATATATAGCTTAAAGGTAAACAGTATTATGAAGAGTGAGAAGTGCTGTTAGAAAGGGCGGCGCGGGGAGAGAGAGGAGAGAGGTGGAGAGGCAAATTGCAGAATTAAATAGTGTCTATATAGGCCTTATTGATAAAGTGAGAGTTGAGCCAACTTAAGGAGAATTAGCTGTGTATATGATTGGGGTGTGCTCCAGACAAGAAAAAAAAAAAAAAAAATCAAAGGTTCTAGATGCATTGTGTGTTTGTGGAAGACTAAGGCAGATCAATGTTGCTGGAGCAGACTGAGCAAAGCAGAGAGTAGTGGAGAGGAAGTTAAGGTGATGGAGGGGAAGGATTATATAGGGTCTTGTAGGTCATTACAGACTTTTGAAGAGGTGTGACTTAAAATTTTAAAAGGATTGCAGTGTTGAGAATACATCTATTAGGAACCTGTTACAGTGTTCCAGTAGAGGGCGGAGCCTAGAATTGGCGTGGTGAATTTGGTGAGAAGTAAGTGGATTCCAGCTCTATTTTGAAGATAGAGCCAATAGAATCGGATTAGATTTGGGATATATGAGAAAGAAAGTCATGAAGGATGATGCCAAAGGCATGAATTAAGTAAGTTAATATATGTAGGGAACTTGAAATTATGCCAGGTACATAGTAAGCATTCAATTTTATTTTGATGTTCTCAACTCTAATACTCAGTATGGGTGACTGTCTACATATCAGTTTCATCATTTAGAATCATGCAGCTTTAAGATTTTGCAATTATGAATATTTACCAAATGAGTCAAGTATTTAAGAAGTTTGCAGTCTATTTGGGGGAGATAAATACGTGAAACACACTTTTAATGATACAGCTCCGATGAGTGGAGGAACACCAGGGCTCTCATCTCACGCCGAATTGGATAAGATGACACAGACACACATGGAGTGGTTTTAAGGAGTGGAGAATTTAATGGGCGAGAAAGAAGGGAGAAGAAAGAAGGAAGACGCCCCCCTGTAGAGACACAGGGAGGTGGGATCCAAAGCCTAGAGAGGAAACCCCGAGTGCCATGTTAACAGCCGGTTGTATGAGGAGGCTGGAGGAGGCGGTGTCTGATTTGCATAGCGCTCAGGTTATTGGTTATCAGGCATGTCATTCCCGTAGCCCACGGAAAAACTTGGCTCTCCCACCCTAGCCTTTTAATATGCAAATGCAGGTCGCCTTGATGTTCTACAAATATGGGGATATGTGGGGGTGGCCATGTTGCCAGGCACATGTAGGGGCAAGGCCAAGAGGACAAGGTGGCTATCGCCATGTTTGTGTGGACTTAGTTTTTAATGGCTTGTATTTGCATATCAAAGGTTGACAGCCGGGTTCTAAGAGCGGGGGCTTTCCTGCTAGACGCGGGGGCTTTCCTGCTAGACGAGAAACACTTCTGGAGCTACTTTAAAGGAGACAAAAACTTTCCAAGGACCCCTTTTCCTCTCTATCTGCCTAAAATAATTTTTTACTAAATCCTACAGCAGTAATCCAAGAGAACGTATTTTGAAAGTAACAAGTTATGTAATGCATATGGCAAGAGCCCCCTGAGTCAAACCCACAGGGTAATGCCTGGAATGAGGATGGGACTTGAAAGATGAGCAGAATTGAACCGGAATGGGTGGAACATCCAAACGAAGACAGCAAGACAAGAATGAGAGTGGTGCGTTGAACAACAGTGGGTAGACTAGCTTGACTAGTTTGGAAGGTATATGGGAAAGAAGGAAAAATAAGTTGAATAAATAGGATGAGTCCAGGTTATCCAGGGTCATGGAAAACCAAAATGAGGAATTTCAAAACCAAGCAGGTTCCTGTGGCTACTTGACATCGTTTTTCAGGAGATTGTGTGAAATAGCAGTAATGAACATGATGAGTGATTTTGATAAAATAGGCACTCCCGAAGATGCCAATGGATATCTTTTCCACCAAGGGGTATCTTTTCCTTGCCACTTCCCAAGAGGGATAAAGAGAGAAGATTCAAAGGTTACCTTCCCAAAACTACATCTTTAGGATTGTATTTTGTTTCTCTCTGCACTCTGTATGCTTCATTGTAAGACATCCTCAACAAACAGTGTGTATATCCTGGTATTAAACTGTATGTTATATACAGTGTGTATATCCTGGCATGAAACTGTATGTTAGGAAATATGTTGAGGCCATTCCTCCAAGGTCACCCAGTTATTAGCTTGATGGTGTTTCTTTCCCCCTGGATTCTTCCTAGCACCTTGTATTAAGTATCTCTTCTCCAGGTCCTTTTTACCCCTTGAACAAAATTTCTCTCAGCACCTATTCCCTCCTTTTAAAACTTTCTACCAGAATTATTTAAATTAACGAATGTTTCCGGTTGCCTAATGTAACACTGCAACATGTGCTTTATTAAAAATTTTTATATTTCCTCACATTAGTGCCTTTCTCTCAGAATTACCATACAAGGCTCTGTGCTTGAATGTCCTATCAAGGCCACCATAAAAATGGTAGGTTCGATTCATTCTGGTTCAATAGACATATTGGTATTTCTGAAATTAACAGATGTCTGATTGGTCTTGACCCAGCCATCAAAGTTATTCTTAGATTCATACATATTTTTGAAGTTTTTTTTTTTTCATAGCTAACTGAACAAAACCAGGGCAATTATTGACCCCTGAAAAACTTGTTAAAAACTAGAGATTCGGCTATGCTCTAACTTTTCCCATTGAGAATCTTTCTTATTTCATTCTAGTCACCGTTCTTTTGCCGAAATTTAAAAACAACACCCAGTTTGTCAGCTACAGGTTTCTGAGAAGCAGATGCCAAGACGGGATTACATGTGCAGGAGATTAGAGAAAATGCCTGTGAAGGACAAAGGGAGACCAGCAAGAGAAGGCAGGGAGACTCCCATTGGAATGCAGAGGGGTGGAAATCTGAAAAAGAATGGGAAGGAAGAATAGGTTGAAAGAACCTGTTTGCAGTGTCATTCTGAGAGACTCAGCCAGGTCAATGGGGAGTCCTAAGCCAAAGTTGTTCATTAGAGGAATTCCAAATTGGTCAGGAATTGCCCAGTTCTAGTATCTCTGCCGTGCTCAGTCATTGTCTAAGAGCAGTGCAGGAAAAACTTAGTCTGGTGCAAACTCAGTGGTGAATCCAAAAGTGCAGTAGAGGGAGACTGTAAGTCAGTTCATAATAACGTTCATGGTGTCGCTTCATGATTTCTGTCAACCTCTCTAGGATAAACTTAGGGAAGGGAAGTTAATAGGACAAACTCTCATCGCAGGTGGTCTGGGACCACACTAGTACTTACCCTGTCCTCCACTCTCCACTCTATATTCCTCTCACTCTCAGCTCTCACTTCAGCAGATCTTGTTGACTTACTTGGTAGCATGACCTAAACTTCACTCCTAAGTGGTCTTGGGCTTTTGTCGTCATCCTCTTCTCAGTCCGTGACTGCAGTTTGTGTCCATTCACAGTTAGAATTAGGTAAGGGCATACCAAGAGGCACCCAAGTGGATCGTCTGAGTTCCACATGTGTATTTCTCCTTGTCCCCAGGGTGTAAAGGTGGCCCCACCTCCTCATACTAATCAATCATCCTTGCTTGCTGGCCCCTGGCTGCAAAGAGCCAAAAGTGTCATACCATACATAACTTTACAGTTCAATGGATGCCCGCTCTACCCCGTTGCAAGAGAGAAAATCTGTAATTCTACTCAACCCAGAGTTGGGGGAGGTGAAGCACAGAGTTCTTCAGTGCGTTGTTAGGAGTGATTGTGAATATAGCCATTTGTGATTTCACCTTTTGGTTCCTAGATCCATGTATTTGTCCTACTAGAGACACAGTGTCATATAGAAATCTCTGATTAGTACCTACACTAAATACTGAGAGATGTCATGCCATCCTTGCAGATTATTGTCTCTGAGCTGCTGATTTAGCTGTGACTTAAGTAGGCTTTTCCAGTACTCTATGAGGCCAACTTCACCTAAATAGTACAATATATGATAAAACAATTAGACCCCATGGTCATGGCCTACCTGTACCTCCTTTACTATAAAGTAAGTTTTCTTGTGAATACCCTGCTAGGTGGGATTCTGTGACTAGAGAGGCATTCTGCTAGTGGTGCCAGCTAAATCTTTGCAGACAGGAAAGGCCAGGTTCTAGTACCTGCTCAATCAAAGCCCGGAAGCAGCCAGGGGAAGCGTGGCTTGTCATGAACTCCACAGTGGATCCAAAGGTGTGGCAGTTGAAGGCTGTCAGTCAGCTGCGCTCTCCACACCAGGTGCTGTGGAGCCTGTAAGGCTGA